TTTTTCATATTATTTAATGTACAAATACAAAATAAGCCTTGAAAAATTTTTGGCGCCCGCCACACTCTTCTGAAAACATGAATGTCCTACTGCCCACAAAAAGGTTGGGGACCACTGTTCTAGAGCATTAAGTGATTGCTTCTGCCCATAGTAGGGCTTCTCACAGCTAGATTCTTTTAACTGGGTCCTATCTCAGAGTTAGAGCCTCATTTTATTTATTATAATGTAGGTAAGCCTCGATAAGCAGATATCCAATGCTGAGTGCCAACTCCATACATTACTAATGCAAAAAACCCCAAAACCCACATTTAATATGTATTAGCAATTATAAACCCAAATCTTTCCAACTCTTAGCCATTTCCCTCCCCGGAGGTTTGAAGGTGCGGGGAAAGATGGGCTCTGCATTATGTCCAGAAGGTTACACAGAGGTTCTGGCAGTAGAAGCAAGAGGAGTAAAAAGTTCTAAAATCAAGGACTCATCATGATGAATATAAATAGGTGGAGGCTTCTAACAGGAGTACAACTACAGCACTATAATACCAGTAGAGAGAAAGGGCTTTCCTGGCTAAAATCAACACCCTGACCACCATCTTTAAATCCTGGAGCACTGGCTACACATGCTGCTGACATGAAACCCTTCTTAAACAAGTTAAGAGCAGTATACAGTACTAGCTTCATTTTTCACGTGGTCTCAAAATGTAGAGCATGTGCAGCAACATGTGGCGCTCTCACCCTGAGGCGACAAAGGCATATACACCTTGATATCTTGTAGGTGTTGGTCTTTGTCTGAAGGATTTGAGCAAATTTGGTTATATCTTAGGACTTGGCTGTAGACAATGGATCATGTGATGTGTCCTGGATGGAAGCTGGAGGCATGTAGGTCCTCTCTTGGTATTGACACTTCCTCATCAATTATTGGGAGTGGACCACATCCACCCTGACTGTATTGGCCTTGTCACCACTGGTTCTCCACTTGTAAGATAACTCCCTTCTCTTCATGTGCCAGTATATTTATGCTTGTATCTGTAATTTTCACTCCGGCATCTGAAGAAGTGGTTTTTTACCCATGAATGCTTATGCCCAAATAAATCTGTTAGTCTTTAAAGTGCCACCGGACTCCTCGTAACTCTAAGTCATTTACCTCTTTTACATATGGCAGTCTCACTCAAAGGCCATAATATAAGCTCTGCCACCATTTCTGAAACCCAACAACATTCTCAGCTCTCACTTAAGTGACAAGTTCATGAAATGCAGCAAGTTAAAGGCTACAGACTCAATTTAAAATAATATAACTAGTTACTCAGCAAAAAGTTACTGTATCCTACTTCTACATTTGAGATAGAGTTCTTACCAAATTGAGACCTAACATGGGTTTCTAAGGACTGCCAAATTCATGCTTCTAATATTCTTGGAAAAGTCTTGAATATGCCACAGAAAATCTGAGTTAGAGAGTTTGTTTTGCACCCTGCTGGCTTCTGACACATTTCAGTTCTGCTAAAGTAAAAAGTTTTACTGTATCAAGTTACACACCCTGAAAACTGATTAATATAAGAATTTACCTTAAATTTTTGACCTTCAGCTCTAACCATCCTCTGTTAGTTTCTCAGTATTTTAGGTTAGATCTGAGCTTTGCTCCCTTTTCCTGGAAATATCTTAGAGATTTAACCGTGGTGCTTTTCTTGGTGGGCAATATACGAGCAAATGTTTAATTATATTGTTTGATAGGATCTAGTAGATCCTTTTGTGTGTATTTCTTAAAATTATTACTTGGTAACAATCTTGCTGATTATTTTGGATGGAGCTAATAATTTTCTTGGTACTTATGTGGATTCATGGTAGTTTTACGTTTATTAAAATTCCTTATGATGCTCTTATTTGTGAAAATGTATAAAATATTTTTAGAGGCAAAAGTACTTAAGTTAGTAGAGCTTATTCAGTCACAATTAATTACACCAAGTTACTCACCCACTGAATTTCCATTCCCTCTGAAAGCTTATCAAGTCTTTCAAAGTCTTCTTTATTTATTACATCTTTTCCTGTGCTTGTTCTCCAGCCATTATTTTTCCAGTTGTCTACCCAACTTGTTATACCTATGGAAAAACAAATTAACATTTTATTGGAAGATAGTTACAGTTTCTAAATAAAAGTACAAACTAGATATATTTTTAAAATTCTGTAAGAATGTAAATAACTTGTGGCTACTGCATAGGAAGACTGTCCATGACCATGCCTTTAAAAGGAAGTTATTTAGGAAGTTTTAACTGTTTTACAAATCCTTGCCATGTAAATATAAGGACCAAACACTAATCACTTCAACAACAGGGTATTTTTTTTTTTTTTTTTTTTAAAAGTAAAAGTCAGGGACAGGTCTCAGGCTTCCATGAATTTTTGTTTATTGCACGCGACCTGTCCCATGACTTTTTCTAAAAAAATACCCATGACAAAAATCTTAGTCTTAGTCATTATCCTCGTAACATGCTTTATATTTACTCTAAAGCTACTGTTCTTCCTGTTATCTCTACAGACTATGGGCATGGTCCCACTCCCAATGACTGATGCTACAAGACCATACTGCTATCAGTTACTAACTTTCTCCACAACTGCATTAAAGACACAGGTGGCAATCTGTGAAATATGCTGATTTCATTCTCTAATACAGTCATTCTGAAAGACTGTTTCTTTCCAGCATCTGTCCTTACACCTATGCTTCCCCATTGACTGGTACTGATGCTCACCGTTTGTGAGCAGAATACCTGAGTTTAGATTCACTTAAGTGCAAGTTTACCAGGCGAACTGCAATAAATTGAAGTTGAGGGTCTGTTTGCCAATAGAGTTAACAGTGTGCAGCTCTAACTAGAGCTTTACTAACTTATTTTATTTGAAGGTCAAAAGAGGAGCACATATGGGGGGGAATGCATAAAAAAGAAGGCATATAGCAGAACACATTCAGAACAACATGAAGGGTAACAAACCTTGAAGTCACTGAGAGAAAGTAACAAAATTTAATTAAGAGTTAGAAAGTCATCTACTACTGGTCAAAGAATTTATTAATTATCAGTCAATTTGTCCAAGACAGGGAGTGCCCTTCATTAAACAAGTCTACTAATGAAACAGTTACCAGAATAGAGTTGGCCACTTTATGCCTGGCAGTATGAACAAACTGAGCTGTTAATTCTCATTCCGCTAAGGACTCTTTCCAGGAAGCCAGACCAAAAGCTCCCATAACCAGTCCCATCCCCATATTTGTATGGGCTGGGAAAAACTGCTTAGGGATGGTTGCCCCCTGGTGGGGCAACTGAAGGGAAGGAAACAGATTACTTAAATGGATCTATTATTCCTCTTTCCCACCCACTCTGCTCTTCCCCATCTCTTCTGCCTCCTTGCTGGTTTTAATTTCCTGGTCCACTGAGCCCTTGCTTAGCAACTCCTCCACTTTCTGGGGCCAATGCTATTAGGAACCTCCCCTCCACTTTCTCCCACATAGAAGCGAGAGCTACCAGAGTTTAAGACAGTGGGAAAACAGGACAGCTCCTGCTCTACTTCCACCCAAGCATCCCCCTTTCCCTGTCCAGTAGCTCCTTGGCCTCTCCAGGGTGAGGGCATCGCCTCCTAGAGGAGGCATCAAATTACTTCCAGCTCATTTGCCCTCTGAGCTACTGGCTCATGCTTTGGGGGGGAAAACAGAAAGATGAAAGTTCTCCTCACCTGCAATGCAAAAATCATATAAAGTCATTGTTCTGCCCAAGAGCCTCCCTAATTTTGGAAAAGTATAGATAAAAACCAATTACACAAAATCTCACTCAATTATCTGATCAACAAGGAAGCCAGACGTGATATTGCGCCCAAATCATTAAGCACATACAAACTTTGTCTTGAAAGCACTTAAATAGATCAACTCATCCCAAAAGCCAGCAGTCAGCATTCACATTTTACAATGGGAGAAACTGAGGCAGACAAATTGACTTGCCAAACACAAAGTGATTGTTAGTTTATTAGATCTCAGAAGTTCCCATCAAGAGCTTGTGCTCAGATTACAACAAAAATTAAAAGGATTCTGGGATCCAGTCTGTTAGAAGTTACCTGCAAAGAACAAGATGCAATTGTGCCTTTTGCTTCTTTATGATACATAAAAGACCTAAATGTTTTTCTCCATCTGCTTTCATATTAGAAATTCAGGATACGCCTATACTCCAAAATTATAAACCACAAGGGACTGCAAGCTGAGAAACTAAGAGGGGAAAAAGGGGTTTAGTCTATTAGGGAACACATTAACTTCACTGCCTACTACTTATAGGAGGTCTTGTAAAAATTCAACATTAACACCTAAGGTGAAATCTCACAATATACATTGGGAGACACCACCCTCCAGCAGTCTTCCATTTAAACCAGGGAAGAATAGACTTGAATAACATTTCTAGAGGTAAAAACAAGCAGAACAATCTTGAAGCGTTTCAAGTTCTGTTTTTGTATCAAAGCAAAAAAAAAAGGGGGGGGGGGGCGGGAGAGAAGAGAACAGGCATTTTCCTAACACTACTTTGCTGGCCACTTTTCAGATATACAGCCTACATTTATAGGGTTTGGTATGAAAATTCATACACCATTTTGTATACTGCACCCTGCGCTTCTGCCAGAAAATCCTTTATTATAGAGGTTCCGTATCTGATATTTTAAAATATTTCCTACATCAGTTGCTAAGCTAGGTATCTTGTCTATTCCAGAGTTTGACACAAACAGTGGATGTGATTTTGGCAAGCTATGCAGGGTGTTCTTGGAGTCCTTTTCCCTGCTATTACTGGGAACTGAAATGAGTTATGCATAATCCCTTCCCTACACACTCATCTTAAAAAAAAAAAAAAAACTATTTTACAGAAACAGATTTGTAGGGCTTATACAATGAAGGTACGTGTTCTACATTCAATGCATAGCAGAGCTGAAATCGTTAACTTACCATTTATAGTGAACTTGCTATCAGTGTAAAGAACCAGTTTCTTGATGTTTTGACTCTTTGCTTGCTCTATTGCTCTGCAGGCTGCCTAAAGGAAGTGTTTCAATAATTGTAATTTAGAAGATTGTGAATAAAAAAATACATACAGAATACATACAACTAGAGAATTTAGTGTGAAGACAGACACAAAAATTGCAGTTATGTATCAGACGTCCCACAGTTGAGAAGTCTGTCAGAGACAGGATACAATATGCATCAGCGGAAGGCGGAAGACAGAGTAGCCAATTATGGAATAACTAGTCCATAAAAGAAACTTCTTCTTAATCCTGCCAGCTAATGATTGGCTCATCCCTTCAACCATCGGTTAATATCCTGGCTATTTTCCTCTAATAGAACTGTGGATGTTCTGATTATCCACATAAATGTCTAATGCTGTTTTGAATCCTAAGCTCTTGACATCAATGATATTTTGTTACTTCAAAGGTTAGTCATGTATTGTGTTATTGTGTTAAAAAGTACTTCCTTGTATCAGTTCTGAATGTCACCTTTCAATTTCATTGGATTATCCTTATCTTTTGAATAGGAGCACCATTTTATCTTCATTACACCAGATATTGTTCTGTAGACCTCCATCATGAAATGAATAAAAGCAGGCATATCTAAACTGAACAGTCCTAATGTTCTCTTTCCTATGAAAGTCTTGCCATCATTTGTCTTTGAACTCCTTTCTACTTCTGAGCGATCTTCCTTGAGACATAAATACAAGAACTATTTGAGGTAGAAACCCCAGAAACAGAACAAGCCAACGTGAGTTCCAGAAAGCAACGCTGCCAACTCCTATGCAGAAATACTGTTAGCAGAATCAGCAGCTTCTTTCTTGACTTGTATCATTGCTAAATCCTTCACAGCAGAGTCATACTAAAAATAAACTGAATGTCTGAAAATATCTAGGAGCTTTAGCAGCTGATTAAGTTGTGTGGAGTCATAATGCTCAATTCTTTCCCACAAGTATAAAACAATTTTAAAACGCCACAACTTACATGTATTTCAGCTCTTTGGTTGGTCTGCCGTCCAGAAAGCCTATCACTAGTATTTCTGTTTAAAAGCAACGCAAAATACATTAGTGGTTCACACTACTGCATAAGTGTATAGCCATAGATTAGGTAGAATTGGGGCATAACTAAAATTTCCCCTTCAGGGGAAATTAAGTTTTTAAGTGGTAACTAATCTGAAATTTAGGCATGCTTGGCCCTGTTCCTACGGCAGGTCAAACCTCCAGGTTGAGAACAGTCATTTTAATATAATTATATGTAAACTTGTGAAACCACTTAACGGGAGCCTAAATTAAACCTTCCCAAAGATATTACCTTGCATTTGTCCAGGCTGAGTCTTGTTATATTTTGCCTACATTTCTAACCCCTACAGGCACCTTTATTTCTGCCTTCAGTGATGGCTGTGATTCAATATTCCAATTTAATAACTGAGTTTACTCTTTCTAGCTCATTATTTATCTAAATTTGGTGATGTTATTAAAGAAAGTCTCAGTCAACTAACTGGGTTTTGCATTCTGAAGTCGCTGAATTTAAAGGCCATACAAATTAAGTGATGAATTACACAAGACCAATATTAGTAAGTTTTTGTACAAAAAGTGATTTAACTATGATCTCTCAACATTACTTACAAAGGGTGGTCTGGTCCCCAATAGACTCCTACTCCAGCACGTGCCTTACGACGCCCATTACTTGAGCAGCAGCCATCTGTATAAACAACTACAGAGTCACCTGCAAGAGATGGATACATGCAACCTATTTAAAATGTCACAAAACAATTTTTAATTGTTCGAAGGCATAAGCCTCTTTCAAATACAGAAAACTGTTTCTTAACAGATTTATATTTCCTCCAATAATGCTCTAGCAACTTCTACACACAGAAGTTGTATATATCGTTTTGCACTGCTGCAGAATCCATAAAATAATTTTAGCCCCAACTTTTTTTCACAAGAACTTCAATTTTTGCCAAGCCTCAAGAAAATTCTTGTGTGGAAGAGCTTCATGCCCCCAACTCCAGGTCCCATCTTATTTTTCTAAGATGGCCATCAGCCTCAATGAAAAGTTAAAATACATGTTTAAATGTGTTCACTCAAGTGTATTTACTCAGGGCTCTGACATGATTCCGTATCAGTTAAAACATGATTTCATCCTGTCGACAGTGGCCAGATCAAGCCATGTAAGAATGACTAATGTTATATACTCAAAATACGCTTTATGATAAGATTACTTAAATTTATTATTGCTCCGAAGGCACTCTAAACATTACTATTAGAAAGCCAGAACTGTAATGCTTGCATTCAGATATCCAGTTCTTCCACACACAAAAATAAAAGTTTCTTTAATTCCCTACCTCGATCACCCATTAGGTAGGACTAGGGGCTAAATGTCAGCAAGAAGAGAACCTTCCAGGCATACCATAAAGGTTAGATTTACACTGTTAAACCAAGCAGCAATAGTTGAGGGCCTCTTACAGAAAAAGACATGCCAAAGCTTCTTCACTGTAGAGAATTTCAACTTGAACCAGGTTTTGGCTGTTAGTGAGAGCAGCAACTTTAGGGACTTGTTAAATACTGTTTAAAATACTTCATATTCATTAAATATACTTCAATAAATTGTAGTCCCCACCAAAGAGGCTTACCCATATATGAGAATTTATCTTTGCTCACTGAAGGTGCTGAGTAGGTCTCGTATTTTACATGTTTTCTGTTTGATTCTTCCTCCAAAGACTGCTCATATGGTCTCTTGCATATACTGTAACTTGGGCTTGCTGTCTCCAGTTCATTCCAGTAGCTGTCACTCTTTTGTGTTAAACTAGATATGCCATTAGTACCTTAAGGGAAAAACAAACAAAAAACAAACAAAAACAGTATTACACACAAATATAAAAGTTAAGTTATAATATGCATGCCTAATTGTAGTTGTATTAGAAGACATTCTGGCAGAAGTACCAAGTTAAATTTCACAGCATTCCTTTAATCCCCAACAATTTTTTTTTAAAAAGAACAAAAATAAATGTACAAGTCATTGTGGGGGCGAAGGACCTGTCTGGTTTTAAGATTAAGCTAGATAAGTTTATGGAGGGAATGGTTTAATGGGATAACATGATTTAGTCAAATGAACAGCGTGCCATCGCTGGTAAATAGCATCAGTGGCCAATGAGGGTCTGGCTGGAGAATCTTGCCTACATGCTCGGGGTTCTACTGATCGCCATATTTGGGGTCGGAAAGGAATTTTCCCTCCAGGGTAGATTGGCAGAAGCGCTGGAGGTTTTTCGCCTTCCTCCGCAGCATGGGGCGGGGTTCGCTAGCTGGAGGACTCTCTGCTACTTGAAGTCTCTAAGCCACAGGATTTGGGGACTTCAACAGCAGAGTCAAGGAAAAGGGGTTGGGACGGCTTTGTGGCCTGCATCATGCGGGAGGTCAGACTAGATGATCATAATGGTCCCTTCTGACCTTAAAGTCTATGAGTCTATCACTAATGCTATGTTAAATTTTAGCGATCAGGACATGCAGCCATTAAGGTTCATAAATTAACAACCACATTGCACACATGTAGTATTTTCTCTAGATTGTGTATAACTGAGCATAGCTTCATGTTTTAATATTACAATTTGGCTTTTGTGTTTCCTAGATTTTTTTTTCCATCTGTGGCAATATTTTTAGCAGGAGTAAATAGTAAAATAGATTTTTCATTTCAATTACCAATTTTAGCAGCAGCATAATTAAATTAAACTTTAGAAGAGGAGTTCAATACTCAGACTGAGCCTTAAAGTTGCATAGTAAATAACGATGCCTCACATAACTAATCCAAAGCCATCTTTGATTTTTCCTTATCTTGTATGTTTTACTAACTACTGAGGATACATGAGCTCAGAGCAGATTTTCAGAAGCACTCAGCATTGCCTTAACTCTGCTACCATTAAAAAGTGCTGGGCCCTTTTGAAAATGCCACCCAGTGACAGAGTGCTGGGCAACAGCAGCTGAACTACCACTCTGGTCACTGTATCTCCAGTCAGTTGCCTGGAAATAAAACTGACTAGGACAGTTGTGACTAATGGATAGATTGGGGATGGGCTGCAGAGAGCTATAAGGGTAATTAACTCATTAGCTCAAAAGGTAGTTAAGGCACTGGCAAGAAGTGCTAGTGGGAGAGAACCAGTCTCTCAGAATTAGTCCCAAGAGAGATTTCCCACCTTTCCTGTCCTTGACCTAGGGAGTTAAAGATGATATGCTGTTGTAAATAAGATGCTGCTGGTGAGGGGGAACACCGTAAATAAACCACACATTGTGTTTACAATCAGTGTCTCCAAGTGCTCTCTGTGTGCAGTGGAAGAAGAGCAGAGGGTATGCCTTGTTAGACACCCCTTCAACTATAACATTAGTGAAAATTTTATGGAAATATTTTAGTTAACTTCATGATAAAAGAAGCTTGTCTGACACTAATTCATCAGTCCCTCTATGCAACAGCAACTGATCTACATTCAGTTATAACAGCTGTCCCCGAACTTTGTGTTACACCCCTCCCTTACCAGTAATAGAATCTATCTGTGCTCCCTGAGAGCTGCAGTTGGAGGCCAGGCCAACACTGGGATTAGGTGGCACTCATTCCCTGTCCCCCCTAGAGGGCAAGCCTGGGCTCCACTATGCCCCCCTTGAACTTTCCTCCATGCCCCCTAGGGAGGCACGCCAAACAGTTTGAGGACCTCTGAGTTATGCAAAATAATATATGCCACACAACATGGTATGGTTTCAGAGATGCTGAGCAGGGAGGGAGTTGTAGGGGTGCCTGTATCTCAGAAAAATCAGACTATTATACTCTAATTTTACCTGCTGTTGCTTTGGAAGTAACACCAGTTCCAGAACAGGCTTCCAATAGTGGTGAGGACAAGAAACCTAGCTGGTTTTTAAAATGAAGCTTTAGTGTGCTGATACCACTGCTTCTCATGGTGACCTATATAGTCTCATTGTTTACGTGTACTCCCCCATCTACTGGTATCCAACTGTCTTTTGTCAGATACTAAAAGTATGTCCACACCACTGCCGCTCAGCTATAGAGCTGCAGCTGTGTCACTGTAGTGCTATAGCATAGGTGCTTCCTACACCGAGAGAAGAGTTTTCCCATCAACGTAGCTAATCCACCTCTCAGAGATGGTACCTAGGGCAATGGAAGAATTCTGCATCTGACCTAGATCTACACAGAAGGTTAGATCAATTTAAGTATATCACTCCAGGTGTGAAATTTTTCACAGACCTCAGGAATGTAGCTAGGTCAACCCAATTTTTAAGTGTAGACCAGGCCTTAGGCTTTGTCTACACTAGCACTTTTGTTGATTAGGAGTGTGAAAAACACCACCACACCCCTAACAGACACAAATTTCACCCACAAAAGTGCTAGTGTGGACAGCTCCTGACAACATACCTAATGCTGCTTGTTGGAGGCGGTTTAATTATGCTGGCAAGAGAGCGTTTACACAGGAGATCTTAGAGCAGCACAGTTGCCAACTTTCACACTGTAAATAAGCACCCTGACTGTCACAACAAGCCAAAAATCAAGCTAATCCCATTTCAAAACAAGGCCAAAACGAGCCAATCCCTAAGAACCCAACACTCTATGTGACTAAATCCCCCCAGCCTGCAGTCTGGACTATGGTGGGCCCACTGTGCACCCCAACTCTCTTCCCCCGCATTGTTTGGCAGGAGCCGATTAAAAAAAAAAAAAAAGCAACAAGCTACAACAAGCCAAACAAGCAACAAGCTAAAAAAGTAGCCAACAAGCAACAAGTGAAAAACAAGCCCAACGTCTGTGCTTTCTCCGTGGGTTTGGCATGTCTGAAGTACAGTTGTATCGCTGTAAGGTCCGGGAGACACTGCTTTATAGCACAAGTTGTTTGGGACAGGAGCTGTCACCATTGCAATACACATAATTCTACCAGTAAGTACACATGGAGATAAGTGATAGGATTGCCGGCAGGGCACCAGACTCGATACCCCTAGCGGTCCTGCCAAACGTACGTTCCTGTACAGACACTGCCCCACGCAGGGAAGGGTGGAAGGGGCTTACTGGGGTACTACCTGCTGAATGGGATGAGGACTGCAGTGCCTCGCTGCCCACGAAGGACCAAGCATCTGCCTCGCTGGCAAATTTCTTGAAGCTGGCGGCCGGGTACCTGTTCACCTGCTCTCGGCACTCCTCCCTACAACACAGCAGCGACAGGCAGGCCGTCAGCACGGAGCCGGGCGGCCCCAAAGGTGGGACAGGACCCCGCGGTCTCCTCCTACCCCGGGCCGACGGGGAAGCCTGGGCTCCCTGGCCGCGCAGGAGACACGGCGCCCCGACGTGAGGGGTTGAAGGAGCCAGCCTGGGTAGGCCTAGTAGGGGAGGGGGATCCACGCCGGGCCGGAATGGGAGTGGGGACCACCCGGAAGCAGCCACCCTTACCAGGTCTGATAGACTCCGATCCTCCTGCCTCTGCGCACCGCGTAGAACATGCTGCTCCCGCTGCTGCTGGGGACAAAATAAGGGTGAATGAGCGCCGCGAACAGGCGCCGCAACATGGCGCCACCGCCCGGCTCGCCCCCAGCCTCGAACCCGCTGCTGCCCACCAACCTTCCGCCCACACAGACGCTCTACGGCGGCCCCGCTTGCCCCCGCCTACTGCGCAAGCACAAGACACAGAGAGATCCCCCCCCCTGCGCAGGCGCAAAGGAGCGCCCGAACGCCACCAGCGCAGGCGCAATGTAGAGGCCCCACAGCTAGCTAGGTCTACCTATTGCGCAGGCGCACTATGCAGCTACCGCCCCGTTCCTTCGGCGAGCGCCTTCTACAGCGCAAGAACCCCGACTGCGCAGGCGCATTGCCCAGCCTTCCCCGGAGTTCCTTCACGGACTCGCTGGAAGAGCGAGGGCTGGTAGACAAGGGCAGGCGGCTCGTTACAGGGCCCGCACGGGACCAAACCGACAGAACATGCGTTTTATTAAAGCTGTTCAGGTGGAAGCGGGTCGCCCCACATGCAGGCTGGAGCCGATACGTCGCTATGCATCAGACCCCTCCCGCCTGAGCACAGGCCGCGTGGCAGAGCCCCAAGATCCCACCCAGCTTTCCAAACCAGCACGTTTCGGCTCGCGCACGCCCTGTGCTGGCTGAACTCCCCGGCCCCGCCCCAGCGTGTGTGTCAGGCCGCGCTCCCGGAGCCAGGGCCAGGTGTGGCGGCCCCGCCCTCACCTGCCCAGCAATTCAATCTGGTCCCCCCGCCTAACCTCTCCTTGGCCTGGCCTGGCGGATGGGCCTCCTGCCTCGTCGCCCACAGGAGTGCAGGGGGGAGCAGAGCTGCTGGGCGCTCTGCGGCTCTTTCGGTTTCGGCCCCCAGACCGGCTGCGTATTGCGGTGCTGGTGGGGGGTAGAGCAAGGGAGAGCGTTTTGCAGCAGCTCGGCTCAGGAGGGGGCAAATGGGGCTGGCGTCGCGACCAATCAGAGCCACGGAGGGGGCTTCCCCCGGGCGGGCTCGCATTGGATTGGAGCGCTGGGGCCTAGGCGGGAGCGACTCGTGGCGCCGAGTGGCTTTGGCGCGGCATGGGCAGAAGCTCTTGAAAAAGTGGTTTGCTCGTGTGTCGGCCAACTCTGTACCTAAGGGGCTTCCATTTGAATAGAGCACGCTCAAGGTTAAATGTTTCTCCATCGTTAGCCCTGCGTGGCCACTCATCGTCACCCCTTCGAATTTCATCCCAAGTGGGAGGTAAAAAGACAGTCAGAGGACAAAGACCATCCTTACGGCCAAAATGGAGTTTGCAGCTTAATAACGATACATACAGAGAGTTCAAAATCTCAAACAACATCCATAAATGGTACATATACTGATTCCTTAAATTGTCACAATGGGGGTTCCACATTTATTACAAACCATGACTCTTGCCTTTTACTTCCCTAGCTGCTAGCTGCTGCCCTTGAAACCTCTTTGTACGTGGGAGGAAATGCAAATATCCAGACAGAGATGAAAGTAGGTGTTCCTGGCCCCAGTCTGGTAATCCAGGGGCATCAATAAGTCGAGTAAAATACAAAGAATTTGGATCACTTTGACATAAATTTTACCTTCAACTGAGAGGGAGTGATTTTAGATTTCACCCGATCCTTAATATACTTGCCAATCAACATTACCATTTTCTTACCCAAATTAAGATCTTTATATCCTCCTTGACAGGCATTGAGTGAAAGGATAATTGATTTGGTCTGACTCCCATGAAAATATAACCATGTCATTCTTCTTACTTCTGACAATTTATTGGTGAAACACTGCATTATACCCATTCAGAATGGCTGCTTTTGATATTTTCACCCAAGGCTTATTTACGTTTGTTTTCATTAAAATATTAACGTTCTCAAGGTTTTTACTGAGATTCTCAGCATTTTTTACTCTTTGGATTTGCAGCATATTGTGCGTGACTGTCCTTGGTTAGCTTTTCCTTTAATTAAAGGCCTGCTATAGCAGAAGGTTTTCTCATTCATTATAGGTTTACCCATTCATTTTATTTATATTCTCTTTTGGCCAATAGATAATAAAAGAGCGACCAGCAATAAATGAAGGGGAGAGAAAAGACCTGTTAAATTCATCTCATTAATTCTTGGGTTGAACAGACAGGTCCATAAATTCAATTTACATGCAAGGACTGATCAGTAACTCTTCTACTGTCACAACCAACATACTGAGCTCAAATTCAAAGACAGAGAAAAATGACTTTGAGGTCCATTGAATGCCATCCACATTCACCTTTGTTCCTTTCTGTCAGTCACCTAATTACATCACTTTTGCTTCATCTACATGGATTTTTTTTTCTGAAATATTCCTACCATTGCTGTAGCGCTGCAGTGACAGAAACAATGGGAGTACTGATATAGACTGACAACTGGCATTTTTACAACTTTGTCATCTAGCACTGCTGCGTAGGAGGTAAAAATGCCAGTGGCTGGTTTACACCAGCTTTCCCATGGTTGTCATACCACTGGTGGATTTGGGGAGATTTTCAGAAGAAGCTCAGTGTAGATGAGGCAATCCAGGGAAAGCATCCCAGGCGACATAACTCACACTATTTGCATTAAGTGGCAGGACTCACAGAGAAGTATAATAGGAATCATTTAGTCCCCATCTACACCAGAACATATGACAAAGTCAGGGGAGATATGGCTGTGTCAGTCCCAGGATATTAGAGAAAGTGGGTGAGGTAATATCTTTCATTGGACCAACTTCTGTTGGCAGTGGTTCTCAAACTTCATTGCACCACAACCCCCTTCTGACAACAATAATTACTACATGACCCCAGTAGGATGGGACCGAAACCTGAGCCAGAATGCCACCTTCAGCCCCGGGTTGGGGGGCTCAGGTTTTGGGTTTAGCCCCAGGGCCCAGCAAGTCTAATGCCAGCACCTGGAGACCCCATTAAAATGGGGTCATGACACACTTTGGGATCCCGAGCCACAGTTTGAGAACTGCTGGATAAGAGAGACAAGCTTTTGAGCCACTCTACCTTGAATGATCCCTTAGAACAGGGGTTCTCAACCTTTTTCTTTCTGAGTCCCCCCAAACATGCTAGAAAAACTCCAGGGCCCTGTGCGGGGGGAGGGGACCAGTGGTGCTGCAACACTTTTACTAATGGGGGTGCTGAAAGCAAACCCCTTACCCCTGTCCATGCCCTCTCCCACCCAAAGCTGAGGTTGGGAGCAGGGCCGTGTCTATGGGAGAGGGGACCCGGATAGGGGTAAGGGGGTCGAGGCTGGGAGTGGGCCTGGGCCAGCAGCTGGGACCCCGCATGTGGGGCTGGGAGCAGAGCCCTGGGCACAGGGCCGGGAGCAGAGCAGCAGCTGGAACCCTGCATGAGGGGCTGGGAGTTGAGCCCCAGGCGCAGGGCTGGGACCACATGTGTGGGGCTGGGAGCAGAGCCCCGGGCATGGGGCTGGGACCCTGCATGGGGGGCCGGGAGCAAAGCCCCGCGTAAAACCTGGGAGTGCTGCACCACCCTCACACCCTTAGTTCTCACGTTTATGGAGGAAGCTGGAGGGCTTGGGACTTTAGCCCTGTGGGCGTCAGACATGGGGGTGCCCTCCATAGGTGTAGTTTGACTTCTATTTTGGGAGGCCAGCTCTGCACAATGGGGCCCAGGCAGAGATCACCACCTCCACCCCTGACTCACCTCAGCAGGCCATCCAGCCTATCTGGGTTGGGGGCGGGGGGTACAACCAAAAATTATAAAGGGAGGAGCTCAGCTCAAAAAGTTAAAAATCACTCAGAATACAGGCAGGAGATAGCTAGGGGCTGTGAGTAGGTGGGGAGGGGTAGCTCAGGGTGCAGGGAGAGGGGTAGTTAGAGGCTATGTGCATGTAGCTCAGGATGCAGGGAGGAGGTAGCTAGGGACTATGTGCAGTTGTGGTGGTAGCTCAGGGTGCAAGGAGAGGGGTAGCTAAGGGCTGTGTGCAGGTAGCTAAGGGTGCAGGGAGGGAGTAGCTAGGGGCTGTGTGTGGGTAGTTCAGGTGCAGGAAGGGATAGCTAGGGCAGTGGTTCTCAACCCTGGGGGCCCCTGAACAGGTTTCAGGGGGTCCATCAAGCAGGGCCAGCATTAGACTCGCTGGGGCCCAGAGCAGAAAGCCGAAGCCACACCGTGACTGTACAGGGCTGGCTGAAGCCCTGAGCCCTATCACCTGGGGCTGAAGTCGAAGCCTGAGCAACATAGTTTTGTGGGGGCCTCTGTGTCATGGGGCCCCAGGCAATTGCCATGCTTGGTACCCCTTAATGCCAGCCCTGTCTTTTATATACAGAAAACGAGTTGTTGTGGCACAGGTGGGCCATAGAGTTTTTATAACATGTTGTGGGGGCCTCAGAAAGAAAAAGGTTGAGAACCTCTGAGCTAGAGGGTGTGTGCAGGCAGGAGGGTAGCTAGGGGCTGTGATGCAGGGAGAAGGAGGGGCTGTGTGTGGGTAGCTCAGGATGCAGGGAGAGGGTAGCTAGGGGCTGTGTGCAGGTAGCTCAGGATGCAGGGAGGGGATAGCTAGGGGCTGTGTGCCAGGGAAGCCCCCTCCTGTGGTCACTGCTCCCCAACGGCACTGCGGGCCCTGGAGCCGGGTCTCCCCACCAGGCAGCTATTAGCTGCACAAGCAGTCAAAGGGGCCTGGGAGCTGAGGAGCTGCTGCAACCCTGGAGCCCAGAGCACCAGCAGCAGACAGGGGAGGTGGCTGACCGCTCCATGGACCAGTGAGAGCAGCAGCCGCCCCGAAATGCCTGGCTCCGGCTTCTGGCCTCTGACCTGGCTGGGAGATGGGGCCCTGGGGAAGTGGGGGAGAGGAGGCAATGGGGAGGTGTGGAGCTGCCCCTGGGACTGCCCGCTCTGGTTAGGGCACTGCAGTTTGGGGGGGCAATGCCCCCCATGCCCTCCTACAACTCTGCCCATGAGCTCAGGGATTCTGCCCCACAGGGCACCGGGGCTTGCGGACCCCCTGAAACTGGGTCACAGCTCCCCAGGGAGCTGCAGACCCATGGTTGAGAACCACGGCCTTAGAGTATGTGCTAACTACTTATGCTAAACAGAGGTGGATTAGGGGTTTGTGGGACTTTGGGCCAGAGCAAGTGCCCCCCGCCCCATGCTCCTGGCAGGGAAATGGGGTCAGGGCATGGGGGCTTGCTCCGCTTCGCCTGGTGCTCCTGCCGGGGAGCAGAGTTGGGGCACAGGAGCACTGGGTGGAGAGGGTTGGGGCATCCATTTTTCCAGTGGCCCACAATTGGCCGTGGCCCCTGGGCACGGTTGGTCCAGTGGCTAGTCTGCCACTAATGCTAAAAATCTGTTCCATCTTACATTGAGCTGTGGTGCTAGGGTGACCAGATGTCCCTATTTTATAGGGACAGTCCAGATTGTGGGGTCTTTTCCTTATATAGGCTCCTATTACCCCCCCCCACCCCCTGTCCCGATTTTTCACATTTGCTGTCTGGTCACCCTATATGGTGCTTATGTTATGCTCATACAAAGCACACGGGATCTTTATAGAGGAAGGTAAATACACAGCATTTATTGACAGGTTTCAGAGTAGCAGCTGTGTTAGTCTGTATCCGCAAAAAGAAC